CAGATCTGAAGGAAAAGGTGAAGATTCCCAGAAAGGGTAAATATTACATCATACATTGATGGTTTAAACCAAAAATAATAACCATTTGTAAGAGATATATATATGTATGTGTATATATATATATTATAAAGTGATAAAGAAGAATAAAGTTGGAGAGCTTACACTCTTTAAATTCAAGAATTATTATAAAACAAGGCAGTGAGGGGCTTCCCTGGTGGCGCAGTGGTTAGGAATCCGCCTGCCATTGCAGAGGACATGGGCTCAAGCCCTGGTCCGGGAAGATCCCACATGCCGCGGAGCAACTATGCCCGTGCGCCACAACTACTGAGCCTGCGCTCTAGAGCCCGCGAGCCACAACTACTGAGTCCACGTGCCACAACTACTGAAGCCCCCACGCCTAGAGCCCGTGCTCTGCAACAAACGAAGTCACCGCAATAAGAAGGCCGCGCACCACAGCAAAGAGTAGCCCCCGCTCGCCGCAACTAGAGAAAACCCATGCGCAGCAACAAAGACCCAACGCAGCCAAAAAATAATTAATTAATTAAAAAGCAAGACAGTGAAACACTGGTATAAAGATAGGAAAACAGATCACTGGAACAGGATAGAAAGTCAAGCATAGACCCATACCTGTATGGCCAGTTACTCGTTAACCAGTGTAGAAGGGAACTTTTTTTTTTTAACAACCGTAGGTGGAACAACTAGACATCTCCATGGAAAAAAAATGAAAAGTAACCCCCTACCTCATTCCACACTCAGAAAAAAAAATGTGTGGTACAGAGCAAACCTAAGTATAAAACTAAGAACCACACAAATTCTAGAAAACTTGGAGGATATCTTCACAATTTTGGGTAAAGTAACAAACTCCCTCACCACCTCCAACAGCCATGCCCAGGCCTGGCACATACGGTGTGTTCAGCACAGACTTGTGAAGGGAGGGAGGGAGGGCCGGGGGTGGGCTGGGCAACAGCAGCGCGTGGAGGTTCGGGGTGACCCACTAACTCGCTTGGATGCTCTGCAGGCCCACGGGCAGCTCTCACTCTTTCACGGTCCATTCACACCTCAGCATCTCGGTCGCTGCGCCCTAGCCCCACCTACACCTCAGCGTCCAGTCTCAGGTCCTTGTAAGGCAGGGTAAGCCACATCTCCGTTGCACGCCGTCATCAAGGTATCAGATGCCTCTTGGGATCCTAACAGCTCACCAGACCTTTCTCCTAGTACTGTGGCAGGCACCTCCGTGCACCCCGCTCGAGCCTCCGTGGGCCCACGTGATCAGACCAGGGAAGCGCGCCTGACTCGCTTTGCTGGGCCAAGCACACGGGGAGCAAGCAGGGGCTCCACGCTCAGGTTTCCCGGCCGCGTCTCTTACCCTCCACTCGCTGGCTGTACGACCTGACCTTGGACAAGACATTCTACTTCTCTGTACCTCCACCTGCTCTTCTGTGAAAAGAGGAGCGGTTTCTTAGGAGGTCAAAGTGACACAAGCAATGCACTTAGAACAGGGGTAGGCACATAATAAGCGCCCAAAATGACAGCTGTTATCCTCTCCCGGGACTTTAAAGCTGGGAGCCAGAAGTGATGTGCGTTCGGGTGCGGGAAGCGAGCACCCTCTACCATGTGGATCCTTAGTGGGATCTACTGGGGAGGGGAGTTTGGGAACCTTTATGAGGCCTTAGAATTGAACAACTGTCTTTTCGTTTGATGTCCGGAGGTTTTTACACCTGAGTCAATGAAGATCCTGGTGAGCGGGCCGTAAACGTTTCTTCTAAGTGGAAAAAGAGCAGTAGTGAAAGGTTGGGAAGGGGGACCCTCCACCTCAAGGCCCTTCTCAAGCAGACCAGCTTTAGGAAAGAGGAAATATGGGATTGAGGATCTGGGGAAACGTGTCCATACAAACGTTCACCAGAGGAAGACGTGCTGCAGAGAAAGCAGGTGTGGGTGCTCCTTTGCAGCCCTTATACCAGGGATCGGACGTCTTACGGGGCCCCTTCCCATGCATTCACCCGTGGGACATCGCACCTTCTCACACGGAAGTGTCCAGCTGTAGGTTTTGTTTTGCTTTACTTGTATTTTTGGTTTTCTAAGGGATTTTGCTATTCCCATTAATAAATGTCTTTGTAATTACAGTGCTTTCTTGTTTTTATGTTTTTTTTTAATAAATATTTTATTTATTTTGGGCTGCACTGGGTCTTTGTCGCTGCACGCGGGCTTTCTCTAGTTGCGGTGAGCGGGGGGCTACTCTTCGTTGCGGAGCACGGGCTGTAAGCGCATGGGCTTCAGTAGTTGTGGCACACCAGCTCAGTTGTGGCTTGTGGGCCCTAGAGCGCAGGCTCAGTAGTTGTGGCGCACGGGCTTGGTTGCTCCGCGGCATGTGGTATCTTCCCCGAGCAGGGATCGAACCCGTGTCCCCTGCATTGGCAGGCGGATTCTTAACCACTGCGCCACAAGGGAAGCCCCCTTTCTTCTTTTTAAAGCCAAATTTTATTTTAAAATAATGTTTGCTAACATAGGTCTTCTGTCCGTCCGTGGTAGACAGTAATTACAGGTTAAAATGCAGGGAAGGATAAAAGGGGGGTAAGCTGTCCTCTAACTATTTGTGGCCATCTTCTGCTGTCTCTACTGTCACCCAGGCTCAGATGCAGCACCCCTCCCAACAACGTGAAATCCTCTTCAGATGCTGTCATTCCAATAACTTCTACTTCTCCTTTCCCTGGTGGCCTCTTTCCCTGCTCTTGTGTGACACAATCCTTTTCCTTTGTATGCTGTTGATGAAAATTCCTGGTATCTTATAGGTTAAGTCTCTTCTTGTATCGATTTCACAGCATTTTTCAATTGGCCGATGGGACAAACTGAGGCCCTGACGTGTGCTCAGGATAAAACAGATCCATTTTAACACCACCCAGTTTTTTCTTTCTCCACCTTGACAGATAAGGAACTTGAACTTCTGGAGTGGTAACTAACTTTCCTGGGGCCCCACAGCAAGGGAGGCAAATGGACACTCATATCCAGGCCTTTTGTACCAAGTTGCAGGCTCCTGGGGCTATGCGGCTGCCACTGCCCCGCTGCGTAGCTGAAAAGATGCTATTTGGTATATTAAAATATGAACTCCTTGAATTTGAATTCTGGGTCACCTTTAGAAACTCAACCATGTCAAAGCCCTAAGTAGAAGGTCCCTGGGGTCAGGACTGTGTGACTCCGTCTCCCCGCAGCCCCCAGTGTGGGGCAGGGCCACGTCCCCCGGCGGTGCTCCTGGGAACAGCTCCTCAATAAGCCGCAGCATCTGAGTCTCAGTGGACCCCGGCTCCTCTTGGAGCCCAGGTCAGTCATTGCTCATTAGCGCTCTGTAAGGCCCGGGAAGGGACAGGGGCTGGGGAAGGTCCTTGGAATATAGTCCCAGCCTTCAGAGAGCAGTCAGGGTGATGGAGGAGACAGACAAGCTTCCTGGGAAACACCTGCACTGCAGGATCCCGGGATCGCAGCGTGTACCATCCACCCCTCACCTCCTTCCCTAAGGCCCCTCACCCTTCTCCAGTAGACTTTACGCCTGGGGCCAGACCACTGAGGCCAGTTTACTTCCCAGTCCTACTTGGGCACTGGTTTTTTTAAAAATATTCTTCCAGTACTTTTCTATCAAGAAGTCTTCTGATCTGGGGTATTTCTACATGAGTTGCAATAAAACCTAGTAGGAATAAAACCCAGAAAAACTTTAAGTGGCAAACAGTTTACAAGAAGCACGTCCCACTTGGAAAGCAGGCACACACACAGTAAAAATACAGCCCTTTACACTTACATTCTAAGTTAGAAAGCAGAGGTTCAGAATATCAAGCTTGAACCAGTAGGATTAAAGGAAGGATTCTGCCACTAGATGGAGAAATTGCCCCAGTCTAGCACAAGCGCGGTTCTGGCTCCCTGCTGGGAAATCTTACCTGCAGGAAAGATATTTACAAGGGCCATATTGTTTAAATGACTGTGGCAACTACACCTTACATTTATAAACGGTAACATTTTGTCAATTCATTTTGTGTATTTTTGCTTGAATGGGGTAGACATCCCATATTAATCTTTATGGCATCTGTATGTCCTACATTCTGCCATTACCATATTCATGATTCAGTGCCGACTATTTAACTCTCTGGAAAATCTTTTAACGTTGCATTTTGTGGCCATTAGCATTGAGTAAATAAATACATGCAAATTTCACTTCCAGTCCTGCAACTGATTAGGTCAAATATTAAAGTCTGGAACAGATTGAAAGCGCTTCTCCAGGACAGTCTTAACCACCAGCTATAACGAACAGCAAAATCTCATTCCGAAAGAGGAGAAGTTTGAACAATAACTAGACCGACCAAATTTGCACATTGCCTTTATTTTGCAGAAAATGCCTTCTGCTGATTGTCTGTGGCTACATTATCAGGAGAAAAATATAAACAGCTGTAGGTTTAACAGTACAAGAGATTAGCTACATATGCGTAAAATAAACACATGCTAGCGGGCAGAGCTGGACACTTCCACTTTAACTACAATCTGCCGTCCTCAACTATGATTTAATTATGCCTTTCACAGCTCAGCTCCAACTGCGACCCCTGCCGCAAGGGGGACCTGAAGGCTACTTGAAAGCAACAAGGAAGAGAATTAAAAGTGTGCTTTTTATCTCACTAGAGTAGGACCAGTGGAGTTTACATATGTGCCAGAGTCACCTACGTGCTGTCCGAGAAACAAAGTTTCTGCATGCGTGCAAGTCATTTCACTGTGAATCGCGGCGAGTTGGGCCAGCTGCACTGCTTGCACGCTCGAGTTCACCTGCAGCACACAAGGACCCAGGACGGCACTGCCACCACCGAGGATGGACAAAGGTGGTGTCAGTGCGGCTCTCCAACGAACGTGTATTCTCCTCTTATTTATTTTAAGGCCTTATTCCCTTCCCCCTCCCCATGAGCCTACCAATCAAACCAAGACTTGCTGCCACGAGAAAGTCGTTGCATCCTTAAGACACAGGCTCCGGCTCACATGGACGGAGGTGACACGGGCGTCCATGAGGCTAGGAGGCGGGCCTGGGCGGAGGCATCGTACTGGCTGTCGGCAATATCTGTGGCCGAGGAGGCCCCTTCGTACAGTGGGGATCCCGAGGAGGAGGGAGCGGAGACTGGATGGGCGAGAGAGGCAGAGTGAGCAGAAGAACCTCGAAAGAACTGGGCTCCCAGCCCGTTGGATATCCCTGCCGCCTGGGCACCGGGGGTGATGGTGCCGCTGCTCACAGACCACAGGCTGGGGTACTGACTGAAATGGAAAGATGGAAAAACAGACAAGTCAGAGACCTGGGGAGGGGCTCCAGATCAGCTGCAGGAGGGGAGAACAAGCCCCCCAAATCCCACTCCTGGTAAGTGGGTTACATGGCAGCTTTCTTTCAAACGGGCCCCTTCCTCTGTGTCACTAAACCACACTCTGACATGCATAGAAGTTATTGTCTCATGTATTAACAATGAACAAAATCATTAGGACAAAATCAATAGTTAAAAAGGCTGCTGACGTAGACATAACTCCTGGCAGAGCAAAACACTCCAGCTTTGCTCATGTTCAGAATCCAAAATTCTCAGATATACTGAATCAGATGTTTCAGAGGATGTGTCTAAGTATCTGTTAACTAGCACGCCCCCCACCCTGCAGGGATTCCTTCGAGGGGGACGACAGGCTTCTCAAACACCGAGTGGTGGAGGGTGAGCGTCCAGTGGCTGCCGTATGGGCAGCACATCTCAGCACGCGTTAGTTAGCCTGACCCACGGCAGGAGGAAGTGCACCAGCAGTGAGACCCGGAAGCAAACCCTGGTTAAATAGCTTTATCACATTAGCCTTGTTCTGCGACCACCTCTGAGGCTCTGTTTCCCCATCTCTGAAAGAAGGAATTGGAAATGGGTATTAAACCCCCCGGTCTGGGAACACAGGCTTGAGTAGCATGACACTAGGCTACAATTTTGTTTCAGGAAAATGTCTCTCTCTTATAGTAGAATCCTTTTATAAATGAATAATGAGACTATACGCTGTCATGGGCTATACAGTTCACCAAGCCATGTCCTGCACTTCAGATGCATTTGAACGTGCAAACGGGCCTGAGTTAAGTGAGGTAGGTTACCATCCCCATTTTACAGATGCAGAGAAACAAGGCTCCGAGATACACTGACAACCTCTAACATCCTCGGGGCGGGGGGGGTGCCCTTTGTAACCTACAGACCATCCAATTCACAGCAGTTTTCTAGATGCCTTCAGAGCCTTGGAAGAGCCCGCGGATTAGGTATTGCTTGCTTCACTTTTAACAGTAGACAATCAGATTCTTATTTTAAAGGAATTGTTTCCTAAAACTAAAGAATTAAGATCTTAGGCAAATAGCGATATTCTATACACAGAAACTGTTCTGCTTTTGAGGTCAAGATGCCTTGTCTACAGACTCAGTCTGCTGTAAGCCAACTTGTCCAATCATTTAATATCTTTGAGTCCATTTCCTCATTAGAAAATGTGGACTGACCTCTAGGTTTGTTATTTTAGTTCTCTGTTGTAATAATCCTATGAAGAAGTGCAGTACATTTACCGACCGGCTCGATTTTTTAAGCCAGTCTCCCTCTATATCATTTTCGAGTTAAGAAAATAGTCATCATTCTTTACAAGTTACCCAGCATATACGTTAAGAACATTGATTCTACATCCACAGAAATCCAACAAAGTTATTTCCTTAATTTAAATCCGCCTGTCAAAAAAGGTTCTGGAAACATTTCTGCAAAATTCACCTACTGACCCCAATAACCCTGTAAAGACAGGCTGAGGCTGGGGTTATCTAGTGCCCTTTTCTTGAAGAAACAAGGCTCAAGAGACTTGTCCATCACAAGAACTAGTAAACAGCAAAGCCAGGATAGGGTTCCTGGTTCCCTTGTGTCACAGCCCAGCTCCCATCCAGCCTGAGGGAGCAACTGGTCTTTCCAGAGGACAGGCTGAAGCAGGAATTCACAGCATTCGTGTAACCTGGGGTCCCCGGACACACCTGGCTAAACGGTCAAGTTATAAGCAAAAACTCAACACCCATAAGTGAAGGGCAGAATAGAGGCCAGTGAATGAGACGGCATGAAGTCATAGGCACTCCCGGGACAGTTTGCATCATTCCCCAGACATACGTTACCTAGAGCCCGTAGGAGAACCAGCATTCGGACTCATGGGGAGCATGCTGGTGTGGGCAGGCATTCCAAGGCTGGACCAATTGTCGTGGGATGGGAGCATGGACAAACACGCAGATGAGCTGTCAGAATACGCTACGGGACGTAAGAAAGTGTCATTACTGGTGGGATCTTCCAAGAGTGACAAAGTGCATTGAAATACTACCAATAGCTGGAGCTACCCAACGTTGAAAACAAAATGTGTGCGATATTAAGTAGAGAAAACAGTCCGCTAGCCTGCGAAATTGGTCATCAGAGGCTAACACTTATTGTCCAATGTATATATTTGAATATATTCCAGTCCCCAGGCTTTTTCTTTATCATTAGATCAACAGCTGCCCTGTAGAAATGGAATCCTACAATCCCATGTTTGAGGATTAATGACCTTTAAAAATAAAATCAATGCAATTTTAACCTGCCTTTTCCCCAAAGGATTATTTCTTAAGAATTAAAAGGGCTTTAGAAACCAGGCAAAATTTAAAATATGATCTTCTAGCCTCTGGCTGGACAACTATTTCCTTCCCAAATAAGCTCCTTTCATTTCAAATCAGCTTTAATTGCTTCATTGTTTTATGGTGTTCATTCACTTTTTCCCTCCTTTTGGAGCCAGACAACATGAAGTCTGGGCACCCACGGTGTCAGAGAGAATTAGGTCCAGGGGTCTTCACGGGCTGGCCCGCTGATCACAGGACTCGAGCCTGCACCAGGGTCGCCTAGGGGCTTGTTGAACCACCAAGTGCTGCCCCCCCCACCCCAGAGCTGCTGGTTCTGTGAATCTGGGGGCTCTTCAGATGATACTGGGGCTGCTGACCCGGGTACCATACGTGGAGAAACACACGTGTGTCAGTCAAGCTAGGAACTCGAGTGCCTGGCTGGCCCGACATCATCACTTTCGAAGGGTTCATGAAATACCCAAACCTGGGCGCCTAGACATGGGCCCACAGTCCTGGAGTAAGAACGCTGGAGCAACAACGGCCACATCCAGCCCCAAAGGCCCCCTGGACTGGACGTCTCTGTGGTCGAGCCAGCAGTAACACGGACATGAAAAGGAGGTCCCTCTGGAGCCCTGCAGACTGCCTTTCCCTTTCCAGAGGTCTTCCGGCCACCCCCAAAGCCCGGGCCTGCTTCCGCTCAGGACTTACTTGGAGAATTGTTCCGATGCGCGTAAGGGCTGGGGTAGGGGGCTGGGCGGTGGTTCCTCAGGGCCGGGTACCTTTCACAGCCGTGCGTGGAGGGAAGAGAGAGGGGGCCTCCAAACTGAGGGTGAGGGGTGGCAGGTGGACACAGGGTGCTGGTTCCAGGAAGCAACCACCCCCCTGCTGTGAGAGAAGAATGCTGAGTGCCTGACTTTTCACCACTTCCATTATTTAAAGGACAGGAGGGGAAGCCCCCAGAGGTGCAGCGGTGAGGGCTCCGAACTCACTGCCCAGGACCAGGTTCACCCTGGTCAGGGAACTAAGATCCCACAGGCTGAGCGTCATGGCCCCCCAAAACCCCAAAACACACAAACAAACAAAAACTACCAAAAGACGGGAGGGCAGAGGCCAGGAAGTGGCAGATCTTTTGCTCAGGATTCGGGAACACCGAGGACCCAGCGGAGTCTTCAGGTGCCTCAGGCTGGCCAAGGTTTCTAAACCCACAGGACAGCCGAAACCCTGGGAGACTGACCCCGACCTCAGCCAAGCCTGAAGCCTCCTAAACACCCAGAATCCTCCCGGCCTCTTAAGGGATGTTCCGTTCCCCCAGGCAGGTTAGCTTTCAGGGCCTACCTTCTGAGCTTGAATATAATGTAAAAAAAGACAGAATTCAGACTCAGAGCCAGGCGCATTCAGGACACACGGGGCGAGCCGTGCGGCGGAGGCCCTCGTCCCCCTCATCCCACCCCACACCGTAGCACGGAGGGGCTGCTGTCCTGGCTGGAGGGGCACCCGTGTTCCGCTCACCTTTCTTCTGCTTTAGGCCCACACTCTCCCCGCCTTACACATCAATCAGAACATTGTTCCAACATTGCCCTGCCCTCCTTTAAAACGCCAATTTCTTCTCCATTTCCTTTTTAACTTTAAAAAAGAAATCAGAAAAACAACCACTAGGAGGACGACAACTCTGGCTCCAATTCCCAAACTACAAACAATTCTTCAGACAACATTCAAATGAGGGGAAGGTCCAGATGTGGCCACAAAGTTTGGGCTCCATCACTTGCCAAAGCCGTTGTTCATATTCTGCTCTACGACGCGGCAGCCCATGAGCCACTTAGGAGAGCTGTTTGCTAAATTAGTCCAGAAGATGACAAGGAGGGAGGGAGGGAGGGAGGGAGGGAGACAGAGAGGGAGGGAGACAGGGAGGGAGGGAGGGAGGGAGGGGGAGGGAGGGAGGGAGAGGGAGGGAGGAAGGGAGGGAGGGAGGGAGACCGGGAGGGAGGGAGGGGGGAGGGAGGGAGGGAGACAGAGAGGGAGGGAGGGAGGGGGGAGGGAGGGAGGGAGGGGGGAGGGAGGGAGGAGGGAGACAGGGAGACAGGGAGACAGGGAGGAAGGAAGAAAGAAAAAGAAATAGAAAAAGAAAGAAACACACACAGTTTGAGGAGGGTGCCACGCTGGTTCGTCCAGACTCCTGAAGTGGGCAGCAAACACTAACTTTCCTCTCTCAGGGTCCCCTCCCTGCGTGGAGAGGAGGGCTAGACACAGCCCTTCCTCCTAACGGACTCTGCTGCAGACCTGCATCACTTCGCTGGCTCATGGAACTCCTAAAGGAAGCTAGACTTAAAGCAGACTTTCCCATCCTATGCTCCACTGCTTCCAGCATGAGCTGATGGGCCATACCCAGAACCGAAGCAGGCTAAGGGGAAAACCACACGTGATCACAAGCATCGTCCCAAACATGGTCCTCCAGTTTTCAGTCATTAACAAAAAGAGAAACCATCTCAAAGTGGATACGAGCCGGGCTCTCCTCTTGTCCCACACAGCAGGGTGTAAACACCCATCCAGGCCATGGCTGGAGCTGCCTTGAAGCACAGCAAAAGAACCCCCGCAACTTCTCCCCAGGCTTCTCTGTCAGGAGTCCTGTGGGCGGGGGGAGCATCCGCAAGCCCAGATGGAGCAGAGGCTGAGGGCCAGTAGGTTGAGGACCAGTCGTAACAGCATCAACACACAGGGCCAGGTGCCTCGCACAGCAAAGGGCAATGTGCTCCCCAAGGGCACCCAGAAGCCCTGTCTGCTCCATCCCCAGCTTCCAGCTCCCAGCAGGCTAGCCCCTGAAACAAGGTACATCTGGCCAGAGCGCAACAAACCGTACATGGGGAGTGCCCAGACTGCTGGCTGTCTCCAGGGTCTTCCATCACGTCCTTGTGATGGCTTCTGCCAAAGAAGTGCAGCGAATTGTCAAGGAGGACATTCAGACACAGTATTTGCAGCAATAGTTCAGCTTTCTGCACACTTCTTTGCTCAAAGGGTATAGTTAGAATTCTCTCACCTTTCCTTTGCATCAAGGAAAGCTTTTGCAAATGGATTGTATTTAATTTTAAGAGCTGTGATCTGAAAAACAAGAAGTTGCGTTTACTAGTAGGTTGCTCATTCGCCAGAGGATTCAATCGGGCCCCAAGAAATCAGGGACCCCCAGCGCCCCCTCTAAGTATTCAAATGCAATCAGATTATTTCCTGGTGTATCTTTCTATTTGGATCTGAAGTAGCCGAGGAATCAGCATATTTTATAAAGAAGAGCACAGTCACGGAAAGCTTTTAGAGGCTGACTTTCCGAGTGGAATTCACAATACATTTAACCTCCTGCTGACAGTATGCTATGTGTATCAACCAGACAAACAGGGCTCAGAACATAACCCGGGTCTGCTCGGGAACAGTGACTGGTTCTAGCTGGCAGTCAACACCCACCGACACCTTGACCCGCTAATCACAAACCGCCTGCACTTTGGGGTCAGACTTAGATACGGATTTACAGGCACTAGACTGGATTCTGTATCTAGGTGACTCCTCACACCACAGATTTGGAGGGATGCCCCCAACCCTTTTAGGAAGATTCCCAGAGTAAGGAGAGGCCCCCCGCCCCTTTCTCTGAAGTCCTGTTCTTAAATTCTTACAGTCCTTTAACCTAAATGTGTTATTTATCTTTTCATTTTGAGCCTTTAGTAGTGGACACTTTCATGGAAAACTAAAGGGGAACGTGCTTGAATGAGTCCTTATTTTAAAACTTTTCTCCCGCTGTTCCAATTTTATAGTTACGGTAAATTACTTGAAAGGGCACTAATTATCAGTCTAAAAGTACAATCATCACACAGGCTCCTGGCATTCCCGGGAACCTCCAGCAGAGCCTTCGCCAGACCGATGGCTGCCCGCGCCCCTCTCACCTCTTCGTTCTGATAAGCGGTCACCGCTATGAACTGCGTCTCCGGGAAGCAGTGACTGGTGATCATGCGCTGCGGACCCCCAACTCTCACGATGTGGATTCGAGGCTCATACTTATGTAAGGAGTTCAACATGATCTGAGAGACATAAACACGGGAATGGAGATCATCAAAGTCCTACCGTTAAGACAAGAAAACATCCACGTGTCCTGCTGAGGAGGAGAAAAATACATCCAAGATGCAGAAGACCCTGCAGCTCGCAGGAAAACGTCTTTCCTGTTGAAGTTGGTAGGTTTCCCATTAGGTGCTGCTCTCACCACTAGTTTGGAAAAGGAATGTGAGATGCTGCACACCATTAAAGGCAATGAATGCCCATCACGAAATGCTTTGACCTGGTAGAGTAAAGTTCTAAGGCTTCCAGGGCAGCTGCAGACAGCTTTAAATGCTTGAGCGAGATCGCAGCTTACGGGAACACCGGGTCTCCCAGGAACAATCCCCAAGTAAAGATGTTCTGTAGAAAAGGACAGATTTACAAGTTTGTTCAGACTCCACGCAGTAAATACGTGGACGTATTCAGCGCTAAAGCGACCGTTTAACTATCAAGACTGGTATTTTCTCTACCCCTAGGAAAGTTGAGGGCTAGGACGCAAAAGTTCCCCCAAACTTGAGATCTGCCTGAGTGTTCAAAGGGGAGGCTTTGCGCCCTCTCCCCGCTCTCCAGGCCTTGGTGTTACCGTCGTCAGTTTACTATAAACAACACTGCAGGCTGAACCGAGGAAGGCAGATGTCACCTCCGTGAGCGCAGCGCCCTTCCAAGACTCCCCGGGGACAAGGTGCAGAGTCTCGGGGGCCCCTCCTCGCGTCGTCCGCCGCCCCGTGTCCGCACCCCATCACACCTACCTGGCCCCCTCCATTGAGCTTGTTGGTGAGCTTGACTTTGCTGAAGGAGACCGGCGCCTTCATCCAGTGCGCCCCGAAGTTGGGCGAGTCGGGATGGATGTAGACGCAGCTGGGCGCCTGCGGCTCAGGCTTGCCCCCTGGCACCCACTCCCCGTTCACGTACTTCCAGCGGTGGTTGTCGGCCGCCACGAAGTCCAGCAGGAAGGAGTACATGGCGTTGGGGTCCAGGCCAGACACGTTCACCTTCAGCACCGGGAACATCCTCCTGGAAAGGAAGGAGCGCAGCTGGAGGACCCCGGATCTGACCCGTTAGAACGAAGAAGCCAGGGGCATCTGCATTTGGAGCAAAGAGGAGCCCCCTTGGGAACTTACAAAGGGGACGCCCGAGCGCCCCCCTTCCCAGGACTCTCCTAGATCCACAGGAGCCCTCCTCACTACCCACCCCCGGCCTCCAGAGGCAGGGCGGGAGAGGACCTGGCAGAGGGTTGCAGCACTCGGGTCCAGCCCGCGGGGCAAGCGTGGGCGAGGCGCGGCTCGAGGGAGTCCCCCGGGAGTCCTCATGCCCAGAAGTGAGGATTACGCGAAGAAGTCCCAGAGGGACAATTAGGGGCCACAAGGGTCTGTTCCCCAGTCTGAGCGGAAATGAGCAAAAAGACCGGGAGAAAGTGTTGGAAGGTAAGGAACTTTGCAGCCCGGCTGCCCGGCCCGCCCGAGCGCGTGGCACACGCCGGGTTGGTGCGCGCCTACCTGCCGTTCTTGGTCACGATCATCTCGTTGGTGAGCTCCTTGAAGCGCAGCCACAGCTCGCTCTCCTCCAGGCCCACGCGCAGCTCGCGTTCCGTGGGGTCGCCCTTCTCGCTGCCCGCCTGCAGCTCGCTCTCCACGGCGCTCAGCAGGTGGTCCACTCGGTACTGCAGGCTCTTCCCCGCGCCGTCGGTGCCGGGGGAGCTCATCCTCCCGCCTGCTCCTCCCCACCGCCCCCCGAAGCCCCGACTTGCTACCCGAGAGCCACCTTCGCCCCAGTAGGCGGCCGCTCTTCCAGGAAGAGGGGCCGCTTGGGCCAAGACCTGCGAGGCGCCCGGGTGCCAGCACAGACCTGGGAGGAGGACGAGGATAGAGATCCGGGGGGGAGGGGCGGGGGAAAGGGGGGGGAAGGTTATTCCACTTGAACTCCCGCAAGGAGCTACTGGAGGAGGTCTCCGGGGAGAGAAAATCACCCCTCGGCATAAATAGAGCCTCGGGAGCCGCCGAGGGGGCGCGGCGGATTGGGCCGCGCGCCCTTTGAAGTGCCAGGGCCGCTGCCCATTGGCCGCGAGCGGCCATATCAGACTCAGCCGGGCGCGCCGCGGAGGCGGGGGGCCAACAATGGGCTCCCGCGCCTGCCTTCTGTAAATCCGGAGCCAGGCCCCGCGAGCCCCGGCCCAGCGCCTACACCTCCGCCCTCCTCCAAATGTTTGCACCTCCATCAAAGCGGCCGGGCTGGCCCCGAAAGCCGGGAGGGGATGGGGGACGGACGGCGTGGGGATGGATGGGCAGGGCTCCCGAGCTCGCCCCGCACGCACCTCGCCGAGGAGTTGCCCGGCTGCCCGCGAAGCTCCCCAGCTCTCGCGCGCGGGGCCCTCCTCTCTCTCTCTCCCTCTCCCTCTCCCTCTCTCTCTCTCTCTCTCTCTCTCTCTCTCTCTCTCTATCTCTCTCTCTCGAAGCGCACCCAGGACCCCGCAGGTGTGCCAGCCTGGAGTCGCACCGCGGCTCTCACCTGCGCCCGAGCCTGTGTCCGTCCCTCGCCAGCGACCATCGCGCACAGCCACGCTTAAGGGCGAGCCCTGTGCCTAGCCCGGGTCGGGCTGGTCTCCGCTCCTCCGAAAGCTCAGCCCGCTACCGAGCCCGGTCCCGTCCCGACACGTCCCTCGGCCTGCGGCGCTTCAGGTGACTCCGCTAACACCCACGACCATGGATCAGCCCACCCGGCGTCCCCTGTTCTCCGCAGCCCTCGCCTGTCTGGAAAGGGAGGGCCCACGCTCGGAGTCTCTGCCCACGGGCCCATCCAGCGCCCCGAGAGGGAGATGATAGGCCCAAATCAACCAAACGACCCCTTGGGGGATGTTTCCTCGCTCCCCCCTTATCCAAGCAGGACTTTGAGGACGAGGTCTGTGCGCACACTGAGTGTAACCCGAGAGGTGGCTCCACTTCTGTGGGTTCTGGTCTCTGCTTTCGCGGAAGGTGAGAGTGGGAGGGGGCGGGCCAGGCATTCCTGGCGAGCCGGGTTCCAGGGGCGTCTCCCCACCCGGCCGGCCGCAGCGCCCGGCCGTGCGCGGCTCGAGTGGTTTATCACCTTTCGGGGAGAACCTCCGCGAGGAGAGCGAAGGAAAGGTGACAAAGAGCAGGAAATAGTTCAATAGGGTCTCTTCAGACAATAACATTCCTCCTAAAACGGGAGCCCAGGAAGGGGAACGGCAGCAGATGCTCGGCGTCGGGACGCGGTCTGCGCGCCTCGGTAAAGAGGGCGCGTGGTCCTAGCCTCGGTTCCCCGCGTCTGCTCGGCGCTCACCCCACCTCACGCCCTCTGGGAAAAGCCACGCATCGGCGGGGCACCCATTCCGAACAACCCTGCACTTAGCTAGGGGGCTGGCTCTGCGGGGAGGTCGTGGAATCTGCGCCCCGCGCTAACCCTGCTCTGCCCCGCGCGGGGCCGGGCTCTCTCCGGGGTCGAGAATGCCGGGGGACCGCGCGCCCGCAGCCCCCTGGGGAGGGGTGAGCGCGCTCCCCCGGCTACCTTTCCGCCCCTCTCCAGATGGGGCCTGCGGAGTCGCGAGGCCCGGCGCACCCCGCCACTGTCGCATTTCTCAGTTTTTTTGTTGTTGTTGTCTAGGATGCAAGGAAATGCCCAGGGAGCTGACCCGAGGGGGAAAGTTTCCTTCTGGAAAGAGGCAGCAAAAGGACCTCATTTGCTCCCGGCACCCGGACCCTGCTGAGTCGCCTTCCACCAGGCTCTTCGGGCCATAGGCTTTGGGGGGCTTTCCGGAGAAATTAAAGATGTCTAAAGGTCATCTGTGCGGTTGAGACCTCCCGAGCCTGCGCACTTAGAATAAAGGGGGGTGGGTGTGAGGTGGAGGGGGAAGAAGCGTGGGTACCAGGCAGTTGAGGGTCTCTAAAACCCCCGGCCGGGAGCGAAGCTTAGGACACTCCTTGGCCCCTGAGGCGGGAGCTCTCCTGGAGCTGATGCTTCGGGGTCGATTTTCCCAAAGTCTGGAAGCGCGGGTGAGGACCCGCGGGTTTACCAGGTCGCTCCGGTAACTGTGGTTCCGATTTCAATTCGGCTCCACAAACGGGAGGGGGAAGGACAAATAAGAATAAAGCCCCGGCAGAAAAGGATGTTAGCTCTCAAACGTGAGCAGCGACATTTCTTCCCTCCAGAAGGAAGGTCCAGGGTTCCAGAGCGGCGCGCGGGAAGCTCAGCGCGCAGCTGGGCGAGACGCGGGGGCTTAGGGGTTGCGCCGTAGCTGGGGAGGTCTCCGGGCTGTCACCGCCTAGTATTTTTCCTTTCTCCTCTGTGCCTGATTTTCTGGATCTTTGTTCTTGGTTCTCAGGATAAGCGTCTCCGCTCTCCGGGTCCTTTCAATGAAGGCTGCCGTGCATGACAGTTTACAGCCAAAAACTTCCTCCCGCCCAGCTATAAAGAATTCCCAGTTAATAACAAGGTGCTTCCTTGGGGGGAGGAGGGGCCAGGGCTCCCCAGATGTTTCTTTCCCAAGGTCTTTTTCCCGTTGGGAAGTCTAGCCAGCCGGTCCAGAAAAATAAGTGAACGCCTTAGGCTCCACCAATAACTTGGGAAACATTTTACAAAAAAGCACATACACACACACACACACACCCCTCATTTCCCAGAGAGGCGGTTTTCCCCAGACCCACCCTCCTCTCAAGCAACAAAACCATTTGTCTTGTGGGAGCGGGTATCAATGGTGCCGTAACAGGCTCAAGGGCAGTCAGGGCAGGGACAGCGTTGTGGGACCCCCGCCATGCCCTCCAGTTTCCTTCTTTTATTTTTTCTTCTTCCTTAAAAAATAAATTGATTTTTGATTAGATAATTTGTGCTCACTGTAGAATATACTGGACACATGATGGACGTACATATCTGAATATACATGATGTGTGTGTGCTCGTGTGTGTGTGTGCGCGCGCGTGCGCGCGCGTATGCAAATGCAAACCTCAAGCGCTGATCACTGCATGTGTAGGTGTGTTTTCCTCAACTTTTTTTTTCATTCTGTTCTTCTGGTGAGCCCTTCTTCCATCCTGGTTAAGCAGACTTAACAAAAGCATTTGCGTCCTAAATTTAAGACAACATATAAAGGGCGCTTGATAGCAAATCTTTTCTGTCACTAGTGGGTTTTCTGTCTATCCCACTGAAAGAAACCCGATGAATTTTGTTATGGTTTTTAAAGTTGCACAATATAATTCTTTAGACTCCATAGCATTGAAAGTTTTCAAAGGCCACTGGGTTGTCTGGGGCATCTCTGGTTTGTGGAAGAGAGCAAAGACTTGTTTCTCAAAGCCTTTCCCAGTAGTGTCCCAGCCCTGGACCTGGCTGACCTGTCACTGCAGCCCCAGGAAGAGGGCAGTCGGGCTCTCATTTTGAGCTCCCAGACCTCTCTCCGGAAGTGCACGGGAGGGTGTGGCCCTGGCAGGTGTGGAGTTGGATTATTAGCCCGAGGAAGTGCTTCCAGACCAAATCCATCCTGCCTATACTTTCTCAGCCACAAAGCTTTGTCACAGATGACAGTGTACGGTTTCCTGATGGGCGTTCACACACCAAAAACAAACAAACAAGCCTGGTGAGGCTGAACGCCTGGGATTGTGACTTTTCTCTGTAAAACTCCAGCGCAGTTGCCTCCGTCCTGGAATCCCAGGCAGCAGAAGAGAAATCTGTAGGTGGCTGGACTATGGTCCCTTCTGTGGCGGGTAGCTTGTTCTCCTGGGTTCTTGAGTTTCTCAGGCCTCGTAGTTCATAGTTTGTCTTCAGGGTGGAATGTCTTTCTCCCGTTTTTCCAGGAAGGCCGGGAAAGCCCTTTCAGCCATCTCTTCAGCCCTGGCCTGCGTTGTGGTAACAATTTCAGTGCTTCTGTTTCCACCTTATCTGTGTTTCCAAATCAGATTCCTTGCCTGTTCTCAGCTTCTCCACTGTTTCATCCCTTAGCCTCTTCTGCATGTATTAAGTGGCTTGTGAAATGTTTTTCCCACACCACTCTGTCAGTTTGCTTTTCTCCGTCACTTTTGGTTTTTACTGCCTCCAATGAACAGTTTCTTTTTCTGCTGTCGCCTCGGTTTTCTGACAGTCCTGATCCCCCAAGTCCCTCGCCTCTGCCTTGCATCACAATCTCCTCGCTCCCTGAGGCGCTGTTTCTTAGAAGCCATGCTTTTGTGTCTCACTGAAAAGGCCAAACAGTTTTCTGAATTCATCTTTTGCTTCCTGCCATCTATTATTTCCAGAGGCTGCTTCTCCTCTGAGTTCTAGGAATAACCCCACTGCCCCTCACCCTTCACACTTGGCTCCCTGCTCTTTTCTTTCTCCTCCGTTGGGACGGGGTGCCCGGGGGTCCCCAGCCTGCCGGCTGCCCCAGGGACCCCTCAGCCACACTGTGGGGCAGGCGAGGTGCAGGGTAGGGTCTGTCTTACTCACTCGAACCAGCACTGGACTCCTGCTGTTGAGTGCCTAGACTGGCAAAGTTGGGATGCTGCCAGCATGGGCTTTTTGTTATTGTTTATTTTTTTGTTTTTTTTTGCGGTACGCGGGCCTCTCACTGCTGTGGCCTCTCCCGTTGCGGAGCACAGGCTCCGGACGCGCAGGCTCAGCGGCCATGGCTCACGGTCCCAGCCGCTCTCAAGCCTCCCTGGAGACCTGCTAGGGGGCATTTTAACAACACGTGGGCGACACATGAACCCTTAACATTCACGAAAATGCAAGAGCCACGGGATCCGGAGCGGCCTTTCTCGAGTCACTACTCACTGACTTGAATCGCCCAGCGTCCTGAAGACGGTAAAGCAGGGGTCCCCTGCGGAGTCGTGTACAGAATGAGACCCAAGAATGAAAAGAAATCAGCTCTTCCAAGGGAAGCAGTGAGGGTGAAGCAGTAGGAACATCATTTCGGGTATAAAGTTACTCAAGAAACCATGCCCGGGAACTCTACCCAATCATTTAATCGGTGACCTTGTAAAATGGCA